CCTGCCCTCCTTGATTGCCAGCGTGATCGCTATCTCCTCCGCTTCTGTGATAGAGGCTTGGGCTATGGAGGCACAACTTGTGACGTTTCCTTTTCGGTCTGTGACCACGGCCACCATGTTTTTTGCATTTGTCTGATATGGTGCAGCGTCAGTAAATCTCGCCGTATTCAGATATTTTGTCTGTTTATCTATGTAAACGGCTCTTGCTTTACGTCTTTCAGCATGTAAAACTGGGTCCATGTTCTTCGGTAGGGGGCATATTTTGTACCAGGCTCTGACTGAGCACGACAATTCCTTAGCTCTTTCATGTGCCTGTACTTGTTCGCCGAGGCCGATCCTCTGAAGAAGTTTTCTGCTGGTTGGCGTCTGTAGCAGGCGGTTAATCTGGGTGGTTACTTGTGCCTCAGCCAACTCATCAAATGTATTGTGAAGTCCGAGCGCTAATAGCTTCGCAGTTGAAGTGCTTTGTGGTAGTCGCAGAGCCGCTTTATATGCCATCCTTATTATTTTGTCTGCTTTTTCTTTCTCCTCTCTATTCATGTTGTGGTAGGGTAGCGAGTATGTTAGTCTGCTGATGACTAAGCTCTTTATCAAATGAAGCACGTCTTGTTCTTTCAGTCCAGCACGATTGTTCGTTATTCGAACTATCATACGAACAATTTGTTGAGCTGTTCGTTTAAGCATATTTAGTGTGTGGAGACATCGCTGATTGGACTGTAACCACATCCCTAAGATTCAAACAGTTGTTTTCTCTGGTATAATATTGCCGTCTAGCTTGACCTCGAGGCGGAGGCTCGGGTCTGTCCTTTGTTTTTTACTCTTGGAGAACCGAATGAGTTCCGATTTGTCTGCTGGGCACTGAAGCCCTGTTCCTTTAGTGTAATCTTCGATGGTTTTAGCTGCCAGTTGAAGCCGCTCTTCTTTTTCCGTCAAGCTACCCTTGGTTGTCCATACAGTGATGTCATCCGCATAGAAGGAGTGTCGTATGTCGGGAATACCTTCCAGTTTTTTGGCTAGACCAATCATGACTATGTTGAAAAGCGTAGGCGAGATCACAGCGCCTTGTGGTGTGCCTTTGCTCGGTGGGTGGAAGACATTGGATTCGTCTTCTCCTAATCTGATAACAACGGTTCCTTTAGTAAGGAAGTTCTGTACATATTTGTACGTCCTTTGACCGCAGTTTGTCGCTGCTAGCCCATCTAATATGGCCTTATGGCTTACGTTGTCAAAAGCGCCTTTTATGTCAATGGCCATGACAATGTTTTCTCCTGCTTTTGGAACATTTGTTAGTACTTCCTCCTTTAAAAGCAGAAGGATGTCCTGTGTCGAAAGGTTCGAGCGGAAAGCAAACATGGTGTTTGGCAACAAGTTATTTTGTTCAAGGTGCCGTTGAAGTCTGGTATTTATTAATCTCTCAAACACCTTGCCTAAGCACGAGGTAAGAGAGATTGGCCTGAGGTTTTCTATTGCCAATTTCTTTCCTGGTTTGGGTATCATAATTATTACAGCATGCTTCCATTGCTGAGGTATAGTGCCATTCACCCAGTGTTTGTTAATGAAATTTAGAAGCGCTGTTATGGCTTCTTCATTCATAGTTGCGAATCATGGCGTTGGTGATTTGGTCCGCCCCAGGCGCTGTGTTGCGTTTCATGCTGACGATTGCCGCTCTGACCTCGGCATGCGTGAAAGGTGCATCCAGTTCTGAGTTTGAGAGCCCAGTGTATTTAGCCTGGTAAGGGGCTGTGATGGCTCGGGCGCCGAAGCACTTATTATAGATTTCTTGAAGCAGGTCATCTCGTGTGCCTGGATATGTGTGCAATAATCTTTCTAGATATTTTTGTCCTTCGCGTTTACTTTTCAGAGGGTCAATCATGGCTCTTAGGATATTCCACGTCTTTGCTGTTCCTAGGGTTCCATTTAGTGAATCGCAAAATTGTTCCCAGTTGGCTGTCGCGAGTTGATTAGCGTACTGTTCGGCTTGCTGCGTTATTTCTTCAATTTTCGCTTTGAGTTTCTTATTTCGCTTTTGCCTTTCCCATCTTTTAGTGAGGTTTCTTCTTGCTTCCCACAGGTGGAGAAGGTGAGCGTCTACTTCAGGGGTATCATCTGTTCTGGCGACAGTTTTGGTGTACATTTGCTTTTCATTTCGAATTACTTTGCACCACTCGTCCAAGTCGTCTATGGCGGTCACGTGCGCTTTTAGCGCTTTTCTATATGCGTGCCAGTCTGTAATTTTGGTTGTGCCGATGTGTTTGCGGATTCGGCCGGTGCGAATTGTGGTGCTTAGTATGTAATGATCACTGCCCAGGTTTTCAAGGGTGTTGTACCATTCCATGCTGTGGCAGTTTTGTACTATCGTCAAGTCCGGACTTGTGTCCATGGATACGCTGTTGCCTATCCTCGTTGGTATTGCAGGGTCAGTTAACAGAGTCATTTCCAGTTTCTCTATTTGTCTTGCGATATTCTTGCCTTTGGTGTCTTGCATCTTATATCCCCAGCTTGCATGCCTGGCATTAAAGTCCCCAACTATGATTAATGGATTCCCTTTCGCCAGTTTTGCTGTCTCTTGAAAGAGCTTGTCGAACGTTGCTCTCTTTTGTCTTGGGGGACTATAGATATTAAGTAGGAAGGCGCTCTTTACATGACTCCCTTTGTAGGTTATTTCTGTTATGATATGCGGGATATCCGCCTCTTCAATGGGCTGATGACATATTGCTGTAATTGAGTTATCGACTAATGTAGCAACTTTCCATTCTGCGTCCCCGGTACTATAAGTTTCGTAGCCCCGTAATTTTGGTTGTGTTCCGGCTTCCTGGACTGCTATGACAGCAGGTGGCTTTTGTTTCGACGCCACCAGCTGCAACAGTTGCCCTCTTTTCCGCCGGAAACCGCTTCCTGCACAATTTGCGCGAAAATTTTGACATAACTCTCCGTGTAACGCAATGTTTTCAGTAGGAACTTTCGAAATTTTAATTGTTATTGCACAGTATCTGTGTTTGCAGTTAAATATTACTCATGGTTGCAACGTAAACCACGTAGCACGACTCTCTCTATAGATGATTGGCTCGTGAGCCACAATTTTGGGGGGCGGCACTTGTATGTTTATTTGTATTTTGACTTTTTATGCTTAGGTTCTAACCGACAACAGTTCGCGTGTTTCAGCATGCATGCTCAAGACCATGACACCCACTGACGTAACTTCACCTCCTCATGCCACCCCTCCCAGCGTATCTTCTAGCAAGTTCGTCGGGAAGATATACAAGAGAAAAGGCGCTTGAAGCGTGCAACAAACCTCTGCAACTCAGTTTTTCACTGACAGTTCGAGAATTTTTTTTTTCCGGCACTCTGTTCTTGAGGCAATAAACTCCGATGCTGAGGTCATGCTAAAGTTAGTTGGTGGAGTGGTTCATGATTGCTTTCATATTTGAGTGTGTGCAACATGCTTAGTTCTTTTATCGGCTTGTTTCCTCAAAAGCGATTCACTATTGAGTCTCGACAGCCGCACTTGAGAGAGTGAACAAGTACAAATGATGTCAAGGAAGGCGCTATTTTTTTAAACTTCTGGTTCATCCATATTACGACCTCAAAGAGTCTTCCCGCTGGTTTTTAATTCTTGGTTTTCGTTTCTGTACATGACACAGCTAATCAGATGATTTCCGACTTCGATGCGGTTGTTGCAGTTCGAAGTTACCAGAAAAATGTGCAAGTATCCTCAACAAACACCAGTAGCCATTCTGAAGGATTTCGACGGCTTCCAGTCGTCGCTGTCATTTATGTTGTACTTTCGAGTTGCACCGAGCTAACAGGCGTGCGCATGGTTCCCATTAAGTAGAGAGGGGGGGGGGAGACCCAGGTTTATCCCAATTTTCTCCTTTTTCTCGTTGATCGAGATGGAAAGACAACATGCTTCTCACAATGGCCTGCCTTTGGGTCCCTTTGTTTTCGGGAGTAAAGATAGGAAGTGGAGAGTTCTTAGAATCCAACAGTGCCATCGACCACTATTACCTCCAAGAGCCCACACCTTGCATTACCGTCAAGGGCCCGCACCGGCCATAGCCTTGCTCTTTCAACAGTGACAGGGCAGATCCGAGCTACAGTCAAAGTGTGTGGAATAATTCCCTCCCCCTTATAGTCGGTTACAACTAAGGAGGTTTAAAAAAATTTAAACCTCCTTGGTTACAGCCATATAGAGTTCCCTAAAATTAACTATAGGGGACTTTGGCGCTGAGATCGTTCAGCGACCATGAAAATGAAGGGTATAGTACGCGAATTTGCCTAGTCCGCCTAGTATAGTACGCGAATTTGCCTAGTCTTCGTACTTTTGGGTGGCAAATCACAGCTGTGGCTTCGCTAATTGCTGAGTTTCAGTTTTGTTTCCAAGGAAAGGACGAACCCTTTTAAACTTCGCGACCCGATTTGAAACAGTAAACCTAAAAGATTACGGTAGTGAAGCGCAACCGCTGAGGATTTGCTTATTTTTGTTTTTTGAGAAAACAGTCCTAAGCCACACGCACACATACGGAGCCACAAGAACGAAGGCAAATCCGTGTACTATCCATCATTCCCATGCTCGCTGAAGTGCAGTGCGTTGCAGCTCCCACAGATACTAGCGCCAGAGTTCCCACAAGTGTATATTTAGGTAACTCTATGGTTATAACCAAGGAGGCTTAAAACCCTTGGTTTATAACCCATAATAAAAATCTAAATACAAATAAAACTATGAGCTAAATACAAATAAAAGTACGAACCCCCGAAACTGCGGCTCACCAGCCATTCCTCTGTGCGAGTCATTCTACGTGTTTGTTTTTTTTTTGCAACCATAAATACTTTTTTGCTGATAACACAAATAGTACGCGCAATAATAGTTAAGAGTTCGACGTACTTACGTTTGAGACGGAGTGATGTTGAAATATGTGCGGCAATTGAGCAAGAAGTCAACTTTTTTTTATCGAGAACTAGCGGCCCAACATGTATCTTTATAAACAAAACACCGATCTAAGATGCGCGAACGATATTCGACCACCATCACGCAAGTGAATCAATGGAATGTAATACTCCCGAATGGTGAAAACGTACGTCCAAGTATGAGGCCCATGGGACGGCTTTACGCCCTCACATTGCAGACTACCTAGTATACTAAATTGTCACCCACTTTTTCTAAACACGCACTCAAGCAGTATATGGCTGGTTCTGGGACGTCTTTCTGCCTTCCCAGATATAGTTAGGTACCGGATATTCTCATTCATGAACATATTTCTACAGACACGTAAATTTTCTCGGGGTAGGAGAGGAGCGGTTGTAGTGAAGTTCACATTTATTCTTAGGCTGTAATTTCAAGATTGCTAGCTCTGTACCCCGAAAAACTTTCGGTCACCTCATTTACCAGCTCCTAAAGTCCAAACTGAAAGCACGTTTACATTTTTTATTCAAGAGTAAGAAAAGTCTCTCTTTATTTCTTGATAGAAGGAACGTGCGTGAACTTTAAGGGAATCCCTTAAAATTTTTTGTAGCTCAAAAGAACATTTATTTGAATATATTTTGCCCAATAAAGAAGGGAAAGCGTAGAAAATGAGCTGACTATTTTCTAAAGCTCTTCTTGCTCACCGATGTTATTAAGCCACATTGGTGGACAAAATCAGATGTCATCAAGGGCCTGTGTTTGTAAAGCATGAAAAGGTTCCATGAGAGGCACGCTACCCACCTGAGTCCCCCATCGCCGCCCCTGTCTGACCATGCGCACGCTGATGATTGAGCTGCCTACATAGCTTTATGTGACTTGAAGTACAACTCGCCTAAAGTGATAATAACCCTATGATGTCGACAAGTGAGTCACTCTATATTTTACGTTTCTGTTCAGAGTGAATTCGTGCCACCGCATTACAAGAGGAGAGAGTACCTCACCGGCTTCTCTGGGGAAACGGGTAAGTTTCATACTTCTGCTTTAACGGTACTTATAAGTAGCTCAGTCAAAAACAGCACAATTTTAGTTGTACAAATCGTCAGCTTCTAAATAAGCGACACCTATGGACATCAGTGGGATCATTTTGAAGTGGTCTTTACCATGTCACACTGCGTGAAAGGGTCAGATCTTGTGGAGACGTTGACTCCAGCGACATTCCCTGTTCAAATGTTTCTTTTATGCACAACCAAACGCCTTTAGGGCCAAACCTCATAAGCGCGAAAATGCACGCGACAGCGACGAGCGACGCTATGAGCGACGAAACAGGGCGTTTGCGCGACGTGTCGCGTGCTCGTTTTCGCGCGATCGCTCGGTTCTTCAGATTTGGAAACCGTCGCTCATCGCCCGGAAGTGCTGGGCTCAAGCAGCCAATAGCGAAATACCGGAAAAGACAAAGACTACATAGGTGCACGTGACCCCGCCCGAGTCACGTATGCGCAACAAGAAATAACGCAATGTTTATTACGCATGTGCATATAAAAAGTGCTGCAAGGCAATAATAAACACTTTCCGTTTCATTACACAACAATATATCTCATTTTTAAATTGCATACCACTCGCTACGCGGTTTTCTTGGTGCAAGTAGACGGCCTCATGCCAGCAACAGTGGAATTCGCTCGCCGAAGCCGTCGCGTGAATGAGGTTTGCCTGCGCTAGCGACTGATCGCGCGAAGCCGATCTACGTCGCGTCGCTTGTCGTTGTCGCGTGCATTTTCGCGCTTATGAGGTTTGGCCTTATAGCGAAATACCCGCGCCATGCAGCCTCGTTACTCAAAAAAAAAAAAATACAGCCGGGCCTAACGCTCTCTAGATATCCTGAGTGTGAGGAATTTGTCATTGTGAAAGCCATCTCATTTGTATAGTCGTTCGGCTGTATTCGCACAGATCAGTCAATATATGCGTACATTCACGTGAAGATTGTTACGAGCTTCGAAAAGAAAGAAATATACGCTCTCCGTCAGTGTAGAGCAAGGTACTTGTTGGGCGATTTGTATCAGGCCAAATGGAGGCATGTAGAATGTCATAAATAGGACAGAAACTAATAAATAAGAGCATGGGCGCTTAATGAACGGGCTATTATTTAGAATATAAACACAGTGCATCTTATTACAGAGAGCTGCTTCATTTCTTATAACTCGCTCTTAACCAGGTACTGCGGTGGTGCTGATGGACTTTGCCGCCCTGTGGGTGGAGAGTCGGTACATTCTTCAGGCCGAGGAAGAGCTGGACTGCAACTGGGTCCTCATGAACGGCGGCCAGCCAGACGTGCCGGTCATCGACGAGTGGCTCAAGAGCAACCTGCGCGGAAGCTCACGGGTTGGCGTCGACTCGCGCGTCGTGCCTTTCCAGGAGGCAAGTGCCTGCCCGTGCTAAATAAACTATTGTTTACTTTTCTTTTGTTTGCGGGGCTAATGCATATGCCAAAGTGGGGAACCCTTATTAAGAGAGACGGTGCTGAGCATATGGCCCCAGTCGTGTAGCCACTTAGGTGCTCGGCTGCTGACCCAAAGGTAGCGGGTTCGATTTCTGCTGTGGCGATCGCATTTCGAAGGAGACGCAATGCAAGGGTGTAGTGTGCGATGTCAGCGCATCTTGAAGAACACCAGATGGTGTACATTTTCTGGAGCCCCCCAGGACGGCGTCCCTCCTTATCATATCGTGGTACTTTGGGAAGTAAGACTTCACTTAGACAGAGAGACAACAAGATCACATTTTCAGAAATATATCTAACACCGTACGCGCGCGATTTATTAGGTACAGGCCATGTAGAAGCCACACGGTGTCTTGTTGCGGTAAAAGCCTAAATTGTTACGATTTAGAAGATGTATAATCACAGCAGAGAAAGCTGAAGGTTTGTTCAGTGAAGTGTTGTTAATTTTAACTTTCTTGATGCTTTATGCAGTACCGCAAGATGGAAGAGAATCTCCACCCCTTCGGCATTGAGCTGGTGGGCGAGCCACGCCATCTCGTGGACGAGATATGGACACCCATGGAAGGCAGGCCTTACGAGTCTAACAGCAGCATTGTTGTTCACAGCGTGGAGTTTGCCGGTGCGTGGTCGCTGCAACATGTTCTCTATGCGACTGCTACCCAAATTACGAACATTTATTCTTTGTTTCTCATTGAATTTTCATCCAGGGTTCTGTTCAGTTCGCGAGAACATTGGCAGTATTCAGCGAAGCAAACATGTTTAGCACTATGCTGCGACTGCCCTTAATGTCGATTACAGTTTACGGGCACCATAAGTATGTTAACATTTAAAGCTTGATTGTAAAGTTGAGAATGTCTTATGTGCCTGCTTATTTCGTCTTTCAGGTGAGAGCTGGCAGGACAAGGTTCGCAAAGTGCGCGAATTCCTGAAGAAATCTGGTATCGACGCCATTCTAATAACGGACCTCGGGGAAATTGCGTGTAAGGAAGAATGATCGTAGCAATGATCGTTTTGATGTTTTCTTTGCACGGTTTGGAACGATAAAAACTGAAAGTAAGGCTAATTGATTTTGACTTTAGTACCAATTACCAGTAAAAAAAATTGTGAACAAAAAAAAAGGTGGTCACAAGACGGTCGATAGTTCACACAGGTTACAGGAACGAATTAAAAAGAGATTAGCGGGGCCCATTCAGTAAGAAACTGTTACTGTGGAAGCTGCAAGTAGAGCTAGTTGGTTGTGACTTAAGTAGACATTAGCAGCGATCATACTGTGTGCATCGTTCTCCGTATTTGTTTTATTTTCGCTGACAGTAAAAGGGTTGGGACGCTCATGTATTGCATTGTCGACCTGCAGGGCTGTACAATATGCGCGGCAACGACGTTCCTTACACTCCCGTCTTCGAAGCTTTCGTTTTCCTGTCTCAAGATGAACAAAGGTAAGCCCTGTATTACATGACTCATTGTGCAGGTTTAATCAGTATTTTCGCTATGTGCTCCTCCCCTTCAGGTTGTACGTCAGCGCACGAAAGTTGACGTCTGAGGTCCGCAACTACCTCATCATGGAAGACTGCAACAACTGGGCCTGTGTGCAGGTAGGCAACTAACTAACTAACTAACTAACTAACTAACTAACTAACTAACTAACTAACTAACTAACTAACTAACTAACTAACTAACTAACTAACTAACTAACTAACTAACTAACTAACTAACTAACTAACTAACTAACCAACTAACTAACTAACTAACTAACTAACTAACTAACTAACTAACGAACTAACTAACTAACTAACTAACTAACTAAATTAGTCAGTCAATCAATCAATCAACTTATTGGTTGCTTCCGTAGGCCGATCAATACTCACTGTCATGGATAACGTTCTTGAGAGGGCAGTGTGATCAAATATAAGGCAGTCCGTAAAACCTGCAGTAGATCACTTTTTAGCAATCAGTCGCTGAGTGAGGCCATAACATCCGTGTTTTGTTTTTTCTAGTGGAGAGACTACAAGCTTGTTTACAACGAGATGAACATCAATGGGAACGCAGTGAACAGACTGCTGGTCTCGCCCTTCTGCAGTTACGCAATATGCGGCCACATTGACGTTGTAAGTAGCCCTGCGCGTGCTTCTTGCTATTGAAGTGCACCTTTAGCGGTCTACAGATGCGCTTTGAATGCGGTACTTGTAAAAAAAATATAAGTTGACAGAAATGTGCGCTCCGGCCATACATTTTTTCCTGCAGGACAAGCTGGTCGTCAGTGAGGCACCAATAAAGATGATGATGACTGTGAAGAACAACATCGAACTGCGGGGACTGCGGAATGCTCACGTATGTTCGACAATGTTGAATTTATTTAAAACTAACACCAAGTGCAACGCCTTTTTGCTTCCGAAGAGGCTTTAGAACAGCAGCTGGTACGAATGATGTCTACAAATTTATATAAAAGTTGCACTGTATACGACCAATACACCGTCAAAATGTAATAATAATATTTAACATGTCGATTCAACTTTCCTAATAATTTCATTCTTTCTTGCAGTTGAAAGACTCTATTGTGTTTGTGACCCTGCTGGCTCATATGGAGAGGGACTACTTGACCAAAAAGCCATGGACAGAAGCACGGGTCGTCTACGAGCTGGAGCGGTTAAGAAGGTATACAACCTCCAATCGAATACGAACTGAGCTTGAAGCCCTTCCGTGTTATTTTTAATATACAGTTTACTTTAGAAAAATAGTCAGCTGGATTGCCACTTTAGGAACAGTAACATTGATCCACCCATAAAGCGTAGAGAATAGATGTAAGTTATTTTCAGATTGTTTATTGATACGAGTACAAGAATGTGACATGTGTTCAGTATACAAAAGGAGGTCCCAAGTCAAAGACTGTATCGGGACCTTCTGTTAAGGGCACATTCTGGTAAAACGGTGTTAGAGGCAATGTAAACATTAGTCATATATAGAAAAAAGGGAGGTATATAGACAAAAAGGAGGTTTCGTCATCTCGCATCTCCTTGTCTCGCCTATTTGAAGTGTCTTTATGAATTAGGTGGTTAGAGCGATGACGACTTGCTAGTTTTTAGAAGAGTAAGCACGTTACTCGAAAGCTGCATTCTCTAGTTAAGCAGGATGGAAAGCTTTATTTTTTGTGGGAATCGATGAATGCGCTTAGAATGACGGTTCGATGAGGGTATACAATGAGGAGATCTACGGTACGCGGTGTTCGATGTAAAGTTCCCATGTTATCTGTGTAAGTACGTGAAGGCCGTGCCTCGATCGTTATTGCACAATAAAATTATATTGCTTCTGTTGCATTGTAGCACATGCATGGTTACAGTCGCCGCTTGAGAATCGTCAGCTGACTTAGAACATTGCGTTATTAGGAAGTGTTAGAGTGCAGCGTTAGGTTGCGCCTCAATATGTGAGTTTCGCGAATAAAGCTGGAACGTGCAATTTCGCTTGCCGACCCCAATCGAAAGTCCCTGACACGTCGCGATCGAGGCGTGCCGCACGGTCGCCATCTATCGGGGAAAGCACGAACAACGAGCGTTCTCTCGCCACCGCCCTTTTTTCAAGATTACAAAACACCGACAAGGCCGTCGTTTACGCCCGCTACATGCACTTACGCGAGCCACGCAGTACATCGTTTGTTCAGAGCATGCGCAGTGAGGCTCACCAGCATGGGCGAGGCATGCGCAGTGGGGGGGGGGGGGGCAAAGTCAGCTCCACGCATTGACACAACAGAAAGGGGGGCAAAGTCCTCCCCCCCCTCAAAGGGAAACCTTGCGTACGCATATACTCACGTGAACGGTGACCCTTATGCCATAGAGTTTTCCACAATACTTACTAGACGTAACTCTGGCGCTGAGGTCATTCGGTCACCTTTGTTTATTGTTGGGTTTGGGCATGTTTGTTTAGGAAAAAAAAAACAGACGGTTGTAAACTTCGGGGCCCTATTTGAATTGGCAAGCTTGAAATGATGTAGCCCTGTCACACGGGCACCAGCAAACTTCCTTGAACTCCGTGTATGTAAAACTCTGTTGGGAAGTTAGACGGTGATGGAGTTGTGGCAGTGTCGCACGGCAGTGACAAAGTTGTAACAGTTGCCGCGAAGGGCTCAGTCGGCGCTGTTATGATTTTCGCAGAAGTATTCTAATTTCACCTCTAGTTGCTCTTTTGTGAATATTCGTTGAGTGGTTCTTACAACCAAAAGTTATTAAGTAAGTCGGAAGGAAAAAAAAAAACGTTAAGATTTGTTCTATATGAAAAAGCATTCGCTAAATGTGGTGATGCCGACAGTTACGCTGGCCACCTTGTAGCTAACAATATGGATGTTTACAAGATGCGAAAACGCAGCTTATGAATGCGTCCTGCAAAGAAAGAACGTGTAATTTGGCGAAATTGTATTATTATTTTGACTGCTGAAATCTGGCGCTCAAAGAATTTTTTTTCTGACGTTCTTTTTCTGCCCATGGTGACTGAAACACCATGCGTTGCAGTTCACATCGAATAGCACTAGATTTCCCTCTATTGCGTATCATAAGAGAACTCCATGCGTCTTGCATAGAGGTGACACCTTTCGTACAACTTCAAAACTTTATAGTGGCGTATACCGGGTGTTTTATGTAAAACAAACCAAAAAGTTAAAAAAAACAACAAAATCTGGGTAATTGCAGTAACTGAAACCAGCGACATAAGGTTTGCCGTCACCTGGCACTAGCTTGAAGGATGTCTTATACTGAACTTAATTAGTTAGCTATAAGGATCAACAGGACAAAAACTTAAGATCCACTTTCATGTCAAGTGTGTTTTTTTTGTTACGTTAGAGAGGGCATGCATTACAAGAAGACCAATCTAATTTCCCGTGGTAATACTCGTGCTGCGTGATTTTTTTTCTGTTTCAAAAAATCGCGTAAAATATGAAAAGAAAGCATTCACTGCTGACATGCGCTATCGTATTACAGTGTTCTCAACTGTGCTTCGAACGGAACGACCACGGCTCGCTCTCTGCTTTAATGAGAATATTACAAATATTGCATAAGTAACTAATAAGGCGCAATATAAAAGCAGCCTAACAATTGTCAGGTAAAGGCAAACGATATATTTGTTTCATTTAGTTGTTACTGATCCCTTAAAAGAGAAATCATTCGTTCTTGTTGCGTGAAACGCCCTGTATACTCTAAAATGCTGAATGGTTCACGAAATGGCAACCCTATTGAGATTTTGCCACGATGCCGAGCTGGTGGTATTCATACGGGGTGGTGAGGTTGAAGGCAACAGTCAACAGGTTCAAGAAATAAACTTTTATTTTTTTTGGCGAACTTGTGCCTGGGAAAAAAAAACGTCATATTAAACGAGCGATACGTGCTATGTTTGTTTAGAAAAAGTATTTAATGATTCAGAATACTTGCTACTCTACTATTGGAGGGCATAAAGTAGCCCCGGTAAACTAACTGCAACAATGAAGGCGGCCAACACAGCATCGGCCATCGACGATTTGATCAACGGTGCAATGCGCAGTGTTAAATACAGTAGCCACCGAACCCTCCAGCGCTATCGCTATAGTTCTCGCGTAATTTCTCGAATAAACTTGACTGTTCACGTCTCGCGTGTAATCATAACAGAAAGGGCTCAGACGGTCACGAGGCTTCTAAAACATTGCAGCGCGTTCAGCGCCGAGCGTCGCTGAGAACCCCTTTGTGGGGGAAACACGAATATATAAAACAATGCAAGAAGCACCCGTGACAACACTTTTCGGGGATACGAACCACTGCTGCGCGGCTCGTAGTTCATTCGTATTGTTGGCACGTCAAACCTTGCAGAATTTACTGATGTGTTTGGATTCAATGCGGTGCGGTGCAGCCACCAACAGCACTACCGGGGCGAGAGCTTCGGCAGTGTTGCGGCAGTGGGACCCAACGCCGCAGTTCCGAACCACCACTACCGCAACGGGTCCGGCATGTACATCAGCAACACCAGCCTGGTACTCATTGACTCCGGGGCGCAGTACCTGTAAGCATGTTTGTCATATCTTATTTAGACCGTCCGACCTAAAAACAATATAGCACATTTCATTCACACGGCGTCTCAGGTTTGAAAAAGAATCATCTACTGCTCAAACACAGTTTTGAGAGAAGTAAGACTAATCACTGACGGTTACGGTACTGCCTAACGCGAATAATTGCCGCAGCTGTTTATGTGTTTCGATTTTGCGATAAGTAGAGGTGCGACTGCATCCCTAACCAGGAGACCACGGAAGCCGCCGCATACAGGCTTCCGCTCTTGAAGCGTTTTATTTCCACAACCGGTGGACACCCTATACCCTCACTTTTCGTGATTCAGGTGACTAGTATATAGGGAGACACCCGTGACCGATGTCATAGATTTTTAGATGCGGAGCAGCTCTTTGGCTAGCCTGTGTAAGGGCCGTTCGCGCGCGCTATACCCACACAGCCGCAGCGCACGTGCTGCGGCCCCTGCCGCACGCAAGCGCGGCACAAATCAGCCAATTGGCGACGCTCTTTTACTCTCCGCTTGGGTGCGGCAAGTGTGCCGGCACGTGAGTTGCGGCTGTGTGGCTAGCGCATGGAACGGCCAACGCTGTCCCTCTGCGCGAACGCGCTGTGCGCCGCAGGTGTTGGCGTGGTGCCAAGTAGGTCACGCCGTTGCTGCACGTCGACGTCATGCTCTCTTCGCAGAGCGCGCTGATGTCACTATCTCCTTCGCCTGCCGCGCTCTCGCCACGGCACCAGCAGCTGCCGCCTCGTCCATTCTCCCGCGACACCTGCCGCGACCGCCGCTCGCTACTTCATGCACAATAAACCTGACGTGCACCTAACGTACGCGTCAAAACATGTCTGTACGTGTCACCTACGCCAGCCATCGCTTCAAGCGAATCTTCCAGTGCTCACCGCAGTACCCGCATTAGCGCTGCTCAACCCGTGACGCCACCCGTGCGCAACCTTTAGGAATTGATTCAAGCACTTCCCATTGTAAAAGGAGAAATGCGTCCTGCGTGGATAGACCAATGTGGAATCCCAACATTGTAGGTGCCAAGGGTCCTTCCTTTTTCATGTAGGCATGCAACCTTGCGTGCTCTACTCTTTCAAAGAGTTTCCCCATGCACGATGTGAGCGATTAAGCCTCTGTGCCTCTTGGGACAGCCCTTTTTTCGTATTTGAGTATTGTTATTATTCTCCATGCCTTCCAATCATCGGGAACTATTTCTTTTGACTGGTAGTGTTTGTTGAAGTAGTTAGAAAGAGAGAGAGAGATAGTTTTCCGATCCATGCCAGGGCTGAGTTCGGTTTAGATGCTGGAGCAGTTGCGAAGACGTCGCTGCTTGTTAGGGGCGTCTAATTTTGTGTTTTCAATTTCCGTGTATTTTATTGTACTTCCCGCAGTCTGGTTGCTGCCGATGTGTCTGTCTTTGAGAGCTTGTATCGGCTCTTCGTCAGTATCCAGAAAGTCATACGAGATTTTTTGTATTGTTCTATTCACTGTTGATCTGTATTTGCCAGGTTCCAGAATGTTTGTAAAAAATGCCGACATTTTTCCAGTACTTGGGGTACCCTGCAAAGAACTGCGAAATTCGATCCTTTCCTCAGCTGCCAGCTTATGTGCATATTTTCTTGAGGAGGCTTCTGTTTACGTGCTCTTCCGTCCACCGCTTTAGCCGAGTACGCAAGATCTCCCGTAGCTGTAGCAGGTGACGATGTGCTGCTGGTGTTTCCGCCGTTCATGGTATTCATTCAGAGCTTTTCTCGGGCACTTCACGTATATATTCAGCCCAATTCTTTATGCAATCGGGTACTTGATCTGGGAGGTCATGCTGCTGAAAGCTTTCCCAGTTCGTCAGCACGGTCGCTCCTATACTACCTTGCGTCTGGGTGTAGCTAAGTAGCAAGGAAAATAGTACAATTAAAGATACTAGATAATGAAGAACAAGTAAAAGATTGAGCTGCTTATGTTTAGTTTGATGCGTAACTTTTGTCCCTTCTCAGTGACGGTACCACGGATATTGCGAGGACCATACATTTGGGAACGCCGACTGACTTTGAAAAAGTAAGACCATTGTTTAAATGTGTATCCGCCAAGTTTAAACTTTGCAGCTGCTTAGCACCAATTTCTCACCATTTTGACAGTTTTGTATGGTCTGTTCGTGTACGGATACACAGTTACGAAAAAAGTCGTAGCCTGAATTCAGTCAACGAAAGATACAAGAGCATGACGTCACACCTCGCATTAAAAGAAAATAGCGGTACTTCTCCAGTCGCAGAATTCTCCTTGCAATGCATTTATTTCAGTTTTACAAGTAATCATGGTATCGAATACAGATAAGATCAATCAATCAGTCAATCAATGTATTTATTCCACGATGAACTTTGAAAATAGATGCAAAGACATAAATGCAGATTGTACAGACTTACCAGGCCATTGCAAACGTAATGAGGCAGTAGTCACAAGAAATAACCACTAGCATAAAACTTAAAGGAATGTACTGCAAAACCATGCTGTCAACAGTGACGAATAATTTGTCCATTCTTTAGGTTATGCAGTGGTTTACACAATTACGAACAGGTATAACAATTGTAAGTATGATGATCACAAAGCTATAGCAAATGACCAAATATGCAGATAATACTGACAAAGAACAAATTTCCTACAAAACATCATGAATACACAATATATAATATGCTGTACAGTGTTTACAAAGATTTGCAGTACGACGTTTTTATGATGTTTTTTTCTTCTTCGCTTCTTGCTCGCAAACCACTAAATACAGGAGGTCTACACGAGAGTGCTCATCGGCATGATCGACTTGTTCCTGACAATTTTTCCCGAAGGAACCAAAGGTTGGTCGTGTCTTTCTTCTACATGCGATCTTTCTCGCTAGAACTCGGGCGTTAAATTAGCAGTGTAATTTTTGCAGATGGTGCCTTGGACGTGGTGGCCAGGCGGTCCCTGTGGAGCGTAGGCCTAAACTTTCTGCATGGCGTCAGCCATGGGCTAGGATCTTACATGCTGGCTCACGAACGTATGTTCCGTTCTTATAGCGCCCCAAAAGGTTTATTTCCTTGAGGTTTTTATGGCTACGCAGGACGTACTTGAAGTGGTAACCACAGAGGCCAGATGTGCCTTTGACTTCAGCTGATGAGTTCTCTGCTATTGTACGTTAATGTATTTTTAACGTTTCACACACAAGCAATCCCTTCGGCAGTAGCTGCATCGCACGCAAGCAGAAGAAAATCGACTTCCGTACAAGCTTTGACAAACAAAGAATGTAGCTACCATGGCAGGAGTTAGGCATAGAATATCTGTGGAATATGTGAAGATTCCACTGGAACTGTGGATAATAAAAATATTGGCAGATCCCACGTACCCGGGAATCGACGTTATGCAAAGCATGCGGAGGCAAGCTGTCCGTGTTGCAAATTTTTTATTGAGTGACACGTAATGCAATGACGCTAAATATATGTACAAATGTTGCACGCACACATATATGTTGAAGAGCTGCTGATATTTATATAACCAGTTGTTTGCGTTTGCGCAACGATGCCAACATGCGTATTAGCAACACCAGAAGCTGGTATGAAGCGCTGATGCTCGCGAAGATGCCGGCCCTTGGCACTGTTACATAAATCAACTTCAGCGCATGAAAACTAACCACGATTGACGTTAACCCGACGTGACGGCTGTATCAAAGAAGGTCATATGTAATGTTTATTCAATTGGGTAGGCAGTACTGCAACCACTACTGACGTTTGAGGAAGATTGGCGTCTATTTGAAAAGTATAGTTCCGAGATCTGGCGTAGGTTTGTGGTAAAATGCTTCATTGCCACGCGTAATGCTTGGGTTCATTTTCAGCTGGGACCCTGTCATTTATTCTTTGTACTCGTCGCATGGGCGCTACCGATGTCGGGTGTTTCTTAAAGCTCGTGCGTTAAAAATGCCCATGTGTGTTTTCGTCGTTCCTGGGTAGATACCATGTGTCAATCACATGTGGCACATACTCGCATACCAGCGGCACATACCCGCCCGTGGGTATGTGCCGCTGTCTGGCGGGAAGAGTTTGACGAGGTACGCGACGGTATTGTGACATTATTCATGTGTTGACCAGCGCGTCATATTCGTCGAACCATATCTTACCTTCCCATGCTAATTTTAGTTTCCAGCAAGTTAAGGGGGTGACTACGAGAGCACCCAAACGTAAGCGGCCGGACAGACAGACAGACAGACAGACAGACAGACAGACAGACAGACAGACAGACAGACAGACAGACAGACAGACAGACAGACAGACAGACAGACAGGACAGGACAGGACAGGACAGGACAGGACAGGACAGGACAGATAGATAGATAGATAGATAGATAGATAGATAGATAGATAGATAGACAGACAGACAGACAGACAGACAGACAGACAGACAGACAGACAGACAGACAGACAGACAGACAGACAGACAGACAGACAGACAGACAGACAGACAGACAGACAGACAGATAGATAGATAGATAGATAGATAGATAGATAGATAGATAGATAGATAGATAGATAGATAGATAGATAGATAGATAGATAGATAGATAGATAGATAGATAGATAGATAGATAGATACGCTCAGAGTCGCCGAAGTTCGCCAAGAAATGCTTCGCATTTAATATTCGCAATATTATCGTAGACCTAACCTGACCACTACTCTTGAGGTCACCGAAAGTGAGATATTTGTTGCATCTGAATTAAAATGTAGGCAACAAAAATAAGTGCATGCGCACAAATGTATATTTGGGTGAATCTGACTGTATCCTGTAACCAACTTTCAACAAGTCGATTCCTTAACGAGTACTAGAGCAGCATTTACCGGAAACAGATGTCACTTTTTCATGCGGCGCTTCTGTGTTCAGAGGCTACTTGGCTTTTCCAAGTAGAGTCAGGGCCTAGTTGTTCATTGTGTTGTTTGAGCGTTGGCACAATAACAATCTTAAAGCACAACATTCCTTTTCTTATTTTTCAGATCCACCATTGATATCTCCGTTCAGTAAAGGATATCCCCTCTTGGCAGGAATGGTCCTGTCGAATGGTACGTCGCACTAAACATTTTTCAAATTATTATTTTCCTATTCACTCGCAGGACAGTGGAGTAGTCAGTTGTCTTATTTGCACGAAATGGTGAATTTTTTTTCAGGCCTCCCGTTGCTCGAAACAAGGTTGTTTCTGTATACTTGCGACATGATTTCTATGATTTTCTGAAAAAAATTATTGAAATTGCGGAGGCTCCTTAGGTGATCAACCCTACTTTTCGCTGGCTATCAATTATCACCATAGCGTGCGTAAAAATCATGATGGAAGCTTACTTTGAACTACTAAATGTCTGCAAATCGGAATGTGGTAGAAGCTCGAACAAATTTAACCGGATTATGTGCCGTACCTTGAATATATCATGCACTAACCTTTGAATGCACATACCATAATTATCATTATAGTGCAAGAGAGCCAATCAGCAATTGCATATAAAAGGAAATGCACATATATGAACTAATGCTTTAGAAGGATTTCTTTTTCTAGATGGCATCTCCAGAATTGTTGTTAAAATTGAAATGTATGAATATCTGTCACTTTTCATTCAGTTAATAGTATTTGCATGGCTTGGCATTCAATAAGCTTTGATATTCGCACATTTTTCTTTATTTGTGTCTTTCAATAAAAATGTTATAATACATTATTGTGATAAAGTAAGTCTTGCTGACAGCTCTCGAAGCCTAGGTTGTTCTTTCAACGATGTTTTATGTATTTAAAATAGTATTTCTGTGGCTGCTTCTTCGATAATATTTTTCACGTGTATACATCACTGCCCCTTGTTTGATTTAATGACTGGGATGGAACACAGCACTTGGGCAATAAACAGCTTTTTTTTTTTCAACCCTGACCTTTAGCCCTACATATGTGATAAATGTACACTACACTACACTGCACTCTGTAACTGATTGATATATATTACAGTGGGAGCACTATTTGCTCTCTCTTATATCACCAGTGTTCTAGAAGCTATTTTCATGTAGAACTGAAGAAATACCATATTTAAACATTGTCGTTATTAGCCAGCAGAAGACAGAATGAGTTTCCACCTGAAGGTTGGTGGAAATTTAAAACCTAAAAGCAAGCACCACATATAGCTCTGTTAATTCAAGTATAGTTTGTTTTGTATATGCCAGTCACTTAATTGGAGGGTGTGATTGTGGAGGAAAGGTTTTGTGTCTATTTTTGTTCATGAGATGCGGTTACACAAATGACAGGATATGGTAAGCTTTCTGCCAGGTGCTTTCACAGAATTATTTGGTTATCAATAAATAAGAATGTGTTTACAATACGCAACTTCTTTTTATGTTATCGCGTCGCTTGCGTGATAAGCTTACGACATTTTGATTTTTATTGATTGAATGTAAGTTTTATTACATGTAATTAGATGTAACGGCTAGAAATCTGGAGGTGAGGCAGTACGCCTTCGAGAAAAACATGTACGCACAGCTGCCACCATCAACAAATCAATGCCTAGGTTGTCCTAAAAGCCGAATACAAATTTCTCTCCGAAGGCACAGAGAAACCGTAAACTGCACTATAGCAGTTACAGAGGTTAATTGTTCCAACAAAAATGAGCACCTCACATCCCTTGGGAAAAAAAAATAAAGCCGCTAGCCATTCCTGGCTGCTTCTGCGGTCTTTTCGCATCGCTTGCTCTACTTACAATTGCTTTTCAGAGCCCGGTTACTACGAGGAAGAGCGGCTTGGAGTTCGTCTTGAAACGACGATGCAGATCACGCCGTTTAACACTACTGTAAGTCTCACGAAATGTGAATCGCACACGCTTGTTGGACTAGACGTTCGTGCACTGAGCATAAGTGAATGAGGTTTACTAATTGGCGTGACGATCTCCGAAAAAAGAAGCGTGGTTAAAAGCTTTGAGACGTGGAACGAGACGGAGAACTTGATTAAAAGCTGTCCGTCGCGTTGGAGAAGTGGTTAGGGTGCTCGGATGACGACGTGAAGGTCGAGGGTTCGACACCGGCCGCGGCGGTCGCAGTTCGATATAGTCGAAATGGTTGAGGACCGTGTACTGTGCGATGGCAGTACACGTTAAAGAACATCAGACAGTCGAAATTTCCGGAGCCCTTCACTACGGCGTCTCTCACAATCGTATCTCGGTTTTTGAACGGAAAATCACACATATGATTATTATTATTATTATTATTATTATTATTATTATTATTATTACTTAAATAAAAGCTTCGGGGGCCACAATCTGATGAACACAGAGTGTTAAAGTTTATTTCTTAATATAAGCCAACTGCAGAACAGTATGACAGATAAATTTTAGTCATATAGCTTTGTCGGCACAAATTCGTTCCGTAGAAGTGAACTCCCTTTTTTTTATTATTTACGTGTGTCAGCACGCTTCGTAATCTCAATACGAACGTTAGTTAAATGTTAGCACACAATACTTTGTTCTTGTAGTTGTCGCGATTATCAAGATACGGCTTGCACAAAAGTAGTCTTTGTGTTCCCATAAGCTGTGCCGCTGAGCTGACGCAACGGGCTCTGCGACATGCTCTCCTGACATGCTTCAGAATAACAGGCGTTCCAAAATATAAATAAATCACGTTTTCATGTAGCTGCTGTGATGTTTAGTCTTATTGCAAATGGGTGCCTAAGAAATTAGATGCCACGATTTGCGTGGCACGCCTCCTTAACACGACATACCCCAGACTCTCCCACATGGCGTATCAAAATTTCGAATTGACACCGTGGTGTACATTAAAACACACTACGTTGTAGGACTTTCGGAGCCCTCCAATAGAACTTACCTCGTCGTGCTTTTGGCATACAAAGCACCAGAAATGATTAGCATAATTTTCATATTCTGGCAAGGGTTCTGTCGAATACGGCTGGTAAACACCAGAATACACTTTTTTTTATTATTTGGAGCGCAGTTTTCAGCTTCTATATCTTCTTAGTATGCTAAATTGCAAACGGAGTGCGGTGATGTCGATAGTAAGGGCTTGACATGGATCTAGGTTGCAGTGTAATTAACACCCTCGTGATGGATGTCGAGCGGCATACTGGACGGCCAATTTCGGACCACCTCCTGTAACACAATTTAAAGTGACTTTTTTGTTATTGTACAATAATTTGTCGTCGTTTTCTCCGGTCGGTAGGTTTTAGTTTTCATGGTGGGGATTGATTGATTTTTCGGTGAGAATGATCAGTCAAGAAAGAAATTAACTCGGCGTAAAGTATATGCATTGAAAAACGTACACTATCTCTCGAATCTTTTTTTTTTTATTTTTCTATGAGAATGATCAGTCAGTTAACGCAGCGGAAAGTATAAGCATTGAAAAAGGCACGCTATCTCTCGAATCTTTTTTTTTTCGATGAGAATGATCAGTTAAGAAAGAAATTAACTCAGCGGAAAGTATATGCATTGAAAAACGTACGCTATCTCTCGAATCCCTTCACACTTGAACAAGAATCGTCGTGGAATGCCACTTAGCAGCCTTGCTGTATGATCGCCTAAAATGAGAATGGCCCCTCGTCTCCGATGGCTTAGTGGCAGATACAAACAACTGACCTATAGCTACGTGTCGTGGGAATTCGGCAGAATGCGTGACATATTGTTACTTACAAGGGCGATGTTAAACGCCAGCGTTGGTAGATTGTCCACCTTAAGTGGATTAATTTATCGAGTCTTTTAGCACGCTCACAGAACGATGGTGTTTGTCTGCACTCTTTCACACGTCTGGGCAATGTGAAATCGCACAATAGCTTAAAGGCAACAACACCCTGTACAAATATGGAATGCTAATAAGACATTACCGGCTGTCCAATAAAACAATCGGTCGTTGGCGAACGCCGGGAGTCGTATGCCGAGTATCGTGGTGTATACGAAGCACCGCAGAGTGCATGGCGTGATGTAATACGTTATTACGCGTTCTTTTCTCTTCGTGAAACGGCAGCGGCCGTGTATAGAGGCCGTATTACAACAGCAGCAAGCAGTTGTGCTGCTGCTACTGCTGCTCAGGTTTTGCGGCACGGCTTGGTATAAGATCGTGCACCCTTTTCGTCTTAGCAATGCGTCATCAGGGGCCGTTTACCATCCATCTCAATCATGCGCTAACGAGGCTAACGATCTCATCAAACGCTCCGCGCGCGAGTGGACAACGCCGTGGCACTGTTCGCAGCGATAAGTGGACGGGTCCCGGTCTGGAGACGAACATTGCTGTGCGCATGCGCGCGCGTATATACATTTCAGTTTGTGTGTCCCCCTTCCCCCTTCCAGTACAGGTTCATGTCCCAGAAGTTTTGCAAGTTTGAACCCATCACGTTCGTGCCTTTCCAAGCGGGCCTGATCAAGTGGGAGCTGCTGAGCAAGGCACAGGTCAGTGGCATTCCTCCCTCCTGGAGAGATCAATCTATAGTGCGTCGTAACGCTGCTCCCTCTCTCATTTCCCTTCTTTGTCCCTTTTCATGTAATACGCCTTCTTTACTGTTTGTTTTGTGCCTGGTGTTTGCAATGTTTGTTTTCAGTGTTTACGCCGTCCGCCATAACTTCATTCGCGTCACGAGCGCGCAAGTTACGTGTACGGTATGTTCACGTTCGGCCCTATCACGCCGCCCATGCAGAAGGCTGGCCCAAGCACGACGAAGGCGTCCCCATTACATAGGGGGCTGTGCTTGAGCCGCCGCACATGAATCGTGCCGAACGCATGGGTGTACAGACGCGCGGATCGTGCCCATGTATACACGGCTTGGGACGAGGTGGAACCGTTGCCTTGTACCGATGAGGAATGTGAGACGACGGGCGATCTGGCGGCTCTCGCGGTTGTTCCGAGCGTCCTTCTATGTGGCCTAGTAATTGAGTTGCGCGTTGCGATGATTATCGAAGTACGAAGTTCAGCTTTCTTTATTTTTTTCTTCTTCTGTTGGTTAATGGCGTGCACAACGTGTACAGCACGCGCACGTTCTGCCGCGCTGATTAACTAACCACGATAACCGTGGTTAGTTACACAAAGCCCGTTTATCCGTGGTTAGTTGCACGGGGCCCGTTTTACTATCACCCGGGGCCCGTTTATCCGGTGCTTGTTCTTTACGACCGAACGAGAGAGACCTCTCTAGAGGACGTTAGTACTACTTACATTTGACTGGTAACATTTGTTAAAGCATTCGATAGGATGACTTATGAGCGTCCATTTTTAACAGTCGACACATTAGTCGAATAATATTAGTGATAACTAACATGCACTAATGCCAAGAAAATTATAGGGGGAAGTTATTTGTTGCAATTATAATGTAAATCTGGCGATTCCGTGAGCCTCCAGGGACCGAACCTGTGGGCTTCGAATAACGCGTCGATGTTTCGAATTACGCGTAACGCGTCGCGTTATTAGAAGGTTGCAGGTGCAGTTCCTGTCCATGACAAGATCTCTTTTGGTCCATTTTTTCTACATATTTAGGTCACATTGACTAAGCATTACATCCCCTATACTTTCCTTGACATCATTGCATGTTATTTCTCATTAATATTGAACCGAACAAAAAAAAACGAGCCCTTAAAGCTTCCGTTGATTTCCTTAGACGATTAATAGTTAATTATGACAGTTGTTTGTGGCAATCCCGCCATCTTATTCATTCTATGGTTAGAGAACGTGAAGCTTGTCAGTATAATGAACTGTAGTTTAGTAAATCGAGTTCGGGTGAAGGCAAATCCAACTGATATATATATAGATGAAGTTGACAGTTTTCAAAACTACGTCTGTGTCTACTCCACGCATACATCGTGATGCTCCTAGTTCATGTCTCGTAGGGGGCCGAGTCGCCCTTCGTTACTGTACATCATTTAAAAGGCGTGAAGAGAGACATCACTCGTAAGGCACAAGAAAACAGAAGTATCTCAGGGAGGGGGGGGGGGGGTTAGTGCGTAGTGCGCTTGCATTGCTAGATGGCAAATATGGCACTTCACACTTCTTTAAGTAGCGGCAATCGTACGCGAACGAGGATTGCCACGCATTGAGCTCTATTTGGAAACACACGGCAACTTCCTGTTGCAGAGAGGTGCTTCCCACGGCATTATAAAGAGACTGTAAAGTTCTCTCAAGAGAGGTCACGCATATCTTGAAGGTAGTTATATATACGTAGCCAGACAGGACTCTCAAAAAGGAGTAAAATGGGTCTTAGAGTGCATATAGGATATATCGAGGCGTTGTGCAATGTCGGGATCGCACTTTTGCATAAACGTACTTTTTGGGATGTCTCTTTTCACGCCAATGAGGAGATGCTATCGTTCATGCTATATGAATCGATGCGGTCCTTTTGAATCACACTGACGTCACTTCGGTCGTTTACGCAGCTGGACTGGCTGAACGACTACAACGCCCGCATCCTGGACGTGGTGGGAAGCGAGCTGAAGAGGATGAAGAAGCACGAAGTGTTGTCTTGGCTGCAAGCACGAACCTTCCGCGTCGAGATGAAGAACGGCTCGACGCCCGTTCTTCGCGTGGCCGGACACCACGGCCTGCTGACGCACGAGGGCCCAACCGGACACCACCACGTCGGACACTCCGCCGGCCAGAGGCCAGTAAACGTTTTCTGTGTAGCTGATAAATATTAGACTACTTGAGCGTAGACTAGAAGGAGTTAGCGTGGAGAAAATTGACGATGCTCACACTAAGCCACGCTAGTACAAACTCGTATGTAAAGGGCCGCCTGCGGTCCAACCTAGCATTGGTGCTCCCGTTAAGGCATCCGTGTCAGTTTCAACGTCACACATCGCACGCTACTGGGTGCTGATGTACCTATATATATATCATATGCACCGTCCATGTAGGCGTATTTGTGCTATGCGCTTCATCATCTTGAGGAGTCAACAGGCATGTAACGCCTCTTACATTGATATAAAAGCGGATAGTCAACGCTGCCACTATTGGTATTGCCTTTTTCATAAGCAGTGTAAAGCACTGGCTGGGTTGTGTGCTGTAATACTTGACTGGCTTACAGAATCTCTGGGTTATATTGCAGTTTGTTCCATGACCTTTATTATTCGCTTTCGTTGGGTAAGTCAACCCAACGAGGACTCCGCCGTGCCGGGCACCCCATTTACTGTGACACGGCCATTTTCACACTGTCGGGTTAGCGTCTCTAAAGTCGGGCTCATATAATGGTGCCCCTTTGGCGCATACTAGCACGCCATGGGTCGTAGTGTGCGGGTATGTGCCACACGTGACTCAAGGAAGAGATTTCATAATGCATGCGACACATAGGCATGTGGCGTCATTAATGTCATAGGCTGTGAATCTTGTTCGTCATATATTCACGTTCTTTTATGTCTGTTTCGGTATCTACGTAGCTAAGGATATGACCACGACAGCTCCAAGACGTGTATAGATAGATAGATAGATAGATAGATAGATAGATAGATAGATAGATAGATAGATAGATAGATAGATAGATAGATAGATAGATAGATAGATAGATAGATAGATAGATAGATAGATAGATAGATAGATAGATAGATAGAAAAAGAAGCAGTCGTAATACCTTTGGTTCGCTAAGAAATGCTTCGTGTAAAAAGATCAACACAGACACGGTAAAAATAAGGGGGGGGGGCTGCAGACGGTGCTACGATAGTTTATTTACGTAATCACACTCCATATTTCATGGCCTAATTCGACCGTGTGGGTAAAGTCATCATTTCACATGAAAGCGTGAGGAGCCGTATCACGATGTTGGTGGCGCGCTCGCGTTTCGAAGACAGTATTCAAATTGAGACGGCGACAAACATGTTACGGACGTTTTCAAGAGAACATATTTGTTTAAATATGTTGGTCATGGCTGAATCGGCCTCCTTCATATATAAACGCCTCACAAGCGTGGACGAAACATACAGCTTACATTTAACTGTCTCAACCTGCTTGCATCGTGTAAATTATTGGTAAGGCATCCTATACTTTAAATAAATGCATTTGTTTTTTCATTTTCATGTTATTGTATCATTGGTGTCTTCAAATGCTTGTGAGATATCCTTGCGAAATCGTACTTGCGACGCGCTTTCATATACTACGTATGCCTAAGAAATGCCTTTCCCGTTGGACTCCAGGATTGCAACGCTAATGTGTAATATAATAATAGGAGCTTTGCACGAAACCGATAATGCCAGTATAGTGTTTCCTTCAGACCAGTAAGCCATAAAGAAGCAAATGAAAAATTACCCCTTGACATCCTTCTTATCGTGCCAGATAGATGAGATAAAGTTGCTTACATTATTATACTTGACTTGCGTGGATCTTTAATCTTTATACCCTAAAAACAGCGACAGAGAGTGGGAAAAATTATATATATGCGGTTTGGCCGCAAGAGTGATGTAATCAATGCGATAGCAAGAAATTGTAATAATATACGAAGTAAGGCTGGGAGCTCACTCCTTTGGATCCAGTCTCACGTAACTATGCAAAACGCTGGTGTCAGAAAATACGGCCGCTCCATTGGCAGAAAGGGATTTCACACATTCTGTTCGCGTTGATAGTGCAGAAAGTAGAAGCGGAAGGTATACTTGCCTTTCGCTGACGCCTGCCGAGATAGCGCGCGCGCCAGCGATCATAACCTCACCCTTAGAAACAGACTTCACAGTTGCTGCTCAAGTGATACCTCAACCCCCCCCCCCCCCCCCCCCACCCTCATTTGGTGTTTTTATGCTCATCCAAAATGGGGGTGGTGGTAGGGGTGTCGTTCTTTCTTTGCATGAGCAGCATTCGAAAGCAGGCATCGCGAAAGGGTTGATGTTATCGCATGCGCCATCTGAGTGATGGAGATGGGCCGGCTCGTTTCATCTCAGCTGCAGCGCTGTTCGTCGTCTGCGCACGTGTGCCTTTGCCCGCAGGTAGAACATAGGTTTCGCGGGGGGGGGGGGGGATGTTATCAGTTAGGAGTTCATATGGAGCATGGCGTTGATGATTACGGTAAAATCCTTCCAACAGTGTCTATATAATACGTGTCGCAATGTAACCACCGGTGCGGTACTTAATTCAATAAAATATTATAAAATGAAAAGAATGCAAGGAGGTTCCTCTGGTAGTTCAGCATTGAAAGCTAAGTCATAAAAGAGTTGTTTATACTTCATCATGCTTTGTCGACATTGCGTTCAAGCTTCATGCCATCGCTGTGTAATTAGTGGGTATTCGTATCGACTGGGAAACGCAGGCCGCCAAGGTCGAAGGGCTGGGAGTCTGCATCCAACATGCCTCAGCCCGGACGAGTGCTTCTCGCGGTAGCATTCGTGATGCTCAACCTCGCGACGTTGCTGCGAGTTTTAGCGTGAGTGAGCATCAGACGTGCAACAAGAAATGCGTCGACAACGATGGTTCAACGACATGCTGAACGTCCTGGTGCTGTGAGAACATTGGATCATCGATGACAAAACAAGACCCCTTTGTACCAAAACCAAACCAGAGACATATGTGCACGTGACTGTTGAAGGGAACTGACCGTTATCACACTCGGTCTGATCTTCATCGTCTCTTGGTATTTCTTTTTTCTTCTGTTTTTGTGGAAAAGTGTCCGTTCATTAGACAGTTGTTTCTTTTACCACTGTTTCTGTTTTTTTTGTGTGTGTGTGTGAAGTAAAGTTGCTGCAGATGGATTCACTATCGTCACGCTGTCTTTGAAGATTGGGAAAGGCTACAAAGAGCTGATGCGTGTGGATTTTTTCAAAAGCATTCTTGAGCGCAAATGTGAGGATGATGCTTAGTGGCCAATTGCATACATAGAACGGCATAACACCAGGCGAATTATAATATCTGTAAAGAACGTGAACAGAAACTCTCATTGTCTCTTATGCATCCGCCTTGAAGACGACTCAAAGCAATAGTCATCTTCTATTTCTTCTGAGTATATGAACTGATGTGCACCCGCCCCCTGCGCCTAAACTGGTCTTGCATTGCCTCCAAGATCGGAGCCATTCACTGCAAGCTTTCTGCGCCTTTAAAGAACCCCAGGTGTTCGAAATTTCCGTAGCCCTCCACTACGGCGTCTCTCATAATCATATGGTGCTTTCGCGACGTTAAACCCCACATATCAATCAATCAGCTCTCTGCGCCTACCTGGTTTTGCACTGCCTGCGTCATCGGCCCACCTTTGCCCAAGCGAAGATGTGATGTAGTGACGTCGGGATGACGTCACGAATTTTGGTAACTTGTGACGTCATGATATGCCATAAGGTGGCGTTATGACGTGATGATGATTTCTTGCATCACTGCTTTTGATGCCGCCGAAGGTCAGTTTTCACGTTTAATAAGGCATCTGAGAGCTTTTTCTTAAAAACTGAATGCTGTACCTCCTCCTGGCCGCATCATTTTACGCCTCTGGCCCTCGTGGTGCGATGACATGGCATCACGACGAAACCACTCGCTTATATGTGACGGAACTTCTCAATCTGTTTGAATGTCACCGAGTGAGGGTCAAAGTGAAGGAGGCAGTATACGCCTAGCCCGGGTGGCGGATAAAATATGTCTCACGTCTGCCTCCTGCACTGCTTCATGGTAAGCTCTGCCACTTCGGTTTCTCGGTCATTGAAGAGAGCTGCATAATTAAGTAAGCTGCTCTTGGCTCCTAGAGCAGTCGTCTCTGGATTCTAGCCGAGGAAGGAGAATGAACTTTATTTGTAGAAACCAGCAAGTTCAAATGGGCGGGCCCAGCGTAAAATGTGGTCTTCTAGCCGACATTACACACTTTGTCCACTCTGACATTGCTTGAAGTAATGCATTAACTATAGCGGCACCAGTTTGCTAGAGTTACCGCTGCGGACAGAGATTATGACGACAGCTTTACGCCACCTGCCATGATAAGTGACTCAGCCACCGGCGCACTCACGTCGTAAAGAAACTAGAAGGTAGGATGCAGCCTCTAGTGGTGGTTTACAGTATCCTAGTAAGGTAAGGTCACATATCTTTTGACCAGTTGTGCCTTGCACGCAGGTTTACGTGCCACACGTGTATTTGCGCGTTGTTGGAAAGTAGACAACTAGCGTACGGTCAGGTGCGTTCGTAACTGTTGTCGCGAGTCCACCCTTGTCCGCGCAGTACTTCGCAGCAAGAAATTGTGCGCTTTAACGTTTGTGGCGCACAAAAGCACTCAAAATATAGCAGCTACGTCAGTGTTACTTCATATTTTGCTATTACGTAGTTTACTTGTGCGTTCCTATTTCTAGGTGTTTCGGTCACCGTTACAATTAACTTCGGTGGCAGTCTGCGTTGTTCAGTAAAGTTTCTTCGGTCTACGATCCAGGCAGTGTCGGGTACGGACAAAATTACAAGAAGCAAGTCCAGGAGGGAGTACATCATATATACTGTCGCTAGGAGTCTCGTTGTCTTGTACCTAGACATTGCCATAGTTATGTTGACTGTGTAGTCGTCATAGACTGTCATTCCGTATCATTCATTTCTCAGCCCTTTTCGCCTTACCCCTGACAGAGTAGCATATTTATTTATTTATTTCTCAACCCTTTTCGCTTCGTGCTGCAGGTTTGTAATTATTCATGCATTCAGTGTTTTCGTAGTGATGACCCATTTCTGGTGCTGCTGCCCTGCCCACTACGTTTAAGGGGTTTAATTTCTGCTGTTTGTTCTGTGCCGCTAGATCTGTTGAGATGCGGGGATGTAGAGGCAAACCCAGGTCCTACAGAGCAGATGTTGTCAGAACTGTTAAATGATCAGGCACAAATTACTGCCTCGCGTGGCGCCATAAAGTGCTCTCAACTTGGAATCGAGAAAAAAATTTCTGATTTAACCCAGCGCATAGAAGGGGTTGAAGCACAGTTATCTGCTTTAGCTACCCTGACAAGTAAAGTACAAGGTATCGAGATTGCTATGTCAAAACGAGATGAACAGATTTGAATGCTTGTATCGAAAGTTGATGATCTCGAAAACAGATCCCACAGAAATAACTTAATTATATATGGAATAGAAGAACCTGCTAGAGAATCTAACGAGGAACTACTGAATGAAGTAACAGAATGTTTTCAGAAAAACCTTGAGGTA